TACACAGTTCAGCACGTGCGAGCACATAGCACGTGTGTTAATGCAAACACTCAATTTAGCTAACATATTTTTACACAGAACATGACAAATCTGAATAAAACATACCTGGGACAAACGACCAAAAAGTGGGCAGTTAGTGGGCAGTGCATTCACGCATCAATGTTGCTCATAGATCTTAAAGGCACACTGGAACTTTTCAACCTTTATAATATATTACCAAAACCCATTGAGATGGTACATCGACTTACAATAGGTTGAATGACACGTCTGCCGTAGCCTGAAGGTGTCTGTATCGCTTTTCCTAGCACTATGTAACTTCGGGTTTCGGGTAGGAACCCGAGCACAAAAAGAACTACAAAATTCAACCGCTTTACGGCATACGTCACTTCCCCCACCACCCACAACTTCCTCAGATTCTGACGTGAGTGCTCAACTCGCGTTTGATTGCCGTCTGTATGTTTTCGTCATGGCCGAACCAACAGCTACAAGGAAGAAGGCAAGGGTTTTGTCAGAGGACACTAAAAAAAAGAAAAAGGCATAGTGACAAATGAAAAGCCAGGACGAGGATCACCATTGGTCCAGCGTTCGCTCGCTGGCGTGAGCTACAGGAGGAGGAGGGGTGCCCGACCGATGCTGACGCTTGCCTGCACACAAATGCCGTTTCCAAGGTGACCCAGATAAATCATATAAGTAGTGTAGTATTTTCTGGTATTCCGGCCACAGCCGATGGTGTTATGAGTGTAATAAAATGCCCACAGCCCATTGTTCATTTCTACACACAAACACAGCCCGCCACAGTGCAGGGCTCGCACAAATAAAGGTGACTCATGTCAAATGTACATTAAATGTAGTGAACGTGCCCACGATTCAGTGCCCACAAACACTACACACAACATGTCCCACGGTTTCTGTAAAACGAAACCAACACACATAAGTTACAGTCAGCTCAGGCCGACGGTGTTTTTAGTGCAGTAAATGTGCCCGCCGTCCCGCGCCCACATTCACTCACAGACATGTTAGCACTAAGCCCCACGGGGCTCGCCCCGCTCGCTCTCTCTCAGCAGACTGCTCCCACATGGAAAGAACCTATATAAACATATATGTTTTAATATAGGTTTTGATATAGGATTTCAATATATGTGACATATATAAAATTGGCCGTTTTCCTATATTATATGTACATATATGCACATACATGTACATATATGTGTGCATATATGTGTACATATATACGTCCATATATGTACTTATATAGGTGCATATATGTACATATATTGGTGCATATATGTACCTATATAGGTGCATATATGTACCTATATATGTGCATGTATATGTGCACATATATGTGCACATATGTACCTATATAGGTACATATATGCACGTATATATCCAGCTATATGTTTACCTATATATTAGTATAATTATTAAAATCCATAGCTACTAGGCAACATAAATAATAGCCCAAAATTTAGAAATTTAAATTATTTATTTACTCAAGAACAATCAAATAGTACAAGAACAAAAATAAGACAAAAAACTGTACAGAAAAAAAAAAACAATTTATCTTGTTGATCTTCTCAGCTCCGTGAGCTTCGAATTGATAGATGTGCCTATCTGCCCTCGGCTGGCTAACGGCCACTTCTTCAATGTAGCATCTAGAGAAGACAAAAATAATAAGACAGTATAATAATAATAACAATATATTGCTTCATCAGGAACCCAAAGTGCTTACAGTACAGCTGCGATTGGACACACATTTTGGATAAAGGGCTGATCAAATAAAAAAATGCATCATGTAAACACGTCAATTGGAAGATTCTGATTGGATTCTGCTAAATCTGAAAGAAATTCTGATTGGAAACATCATCCCCCTTTTTTTTTAGCGGCATCGTTCTTTCATATGCACATGTCCGTCATGGGGACTTCATTGTTAACAGTCACACGGTCAATCATGTGCATTCAAAGCAGAGAAAATTCATGGATAGAAAAATTTCAGAAATGTGGCTTTAGAAGAGGAAAGGTAGCATCAAGAAGTGAGTAAGCAATGAATTAGTATTATAGGTTCCAAGCACACAGTAACAATAATGGGTACCCTACATTATACAGTCTCCATTGATGCCTAATAAACATTAATACAAGTAGGCTATGGTTAAAGTGGTGAACTTATAAAGTCTTAAAAGTTTTGTTTTCCCTTCTCAACGCATTATGCATTTACTCACCAATAATGGCTGCCTTTTTAATTTGATCAAGGGCGACCAGCTGCTCCCCATCCCCTCTGGTTGGCTTCCCACCTTAAAGTAATATTTCAAAATTATTATGAAAGGGGGGTAAAATGAAGGTGGTGAAAACAAGAGATTTTTTATATACACATCACATTTTCTTGAGGTGCAAGGAAATACAAAAATGGCAAGTAAAAAAGCGATGGTATGCCCGCACACAAACATAATTTATTCCACAGAATATGACTGACTTGTTTTTTTGAAGGACAGAAGAGATTAGGAACATGTTGTTTAGTACCATTCAGGTTGCTTTTCAGCAAAGTATCCAAATCAAAGGTGCCCAGCAGCAGATTCGACACCATGGCAGTGGCAGAGGTGGCAAGGCGGGCTGCTTTCCATGCTTCTGCCTGGCAAAACACCCCAGAGCCCTTTATAACTTCAATCTGAAAAATAATTTCACATCAATTTCATATTAATTTATTGGCAACTTTTAGAAACTTTTTCATGTTTCATATTGATTATTATGCTTAGCTTCCCAAAAGTTAATAGGTTATGATGTATAAATGCAGATTAATGATAAAGATATGAAACAAATTAATCATTGCCCTAAACGTTATTAAAGGAGAGAAGGAGGAGGTCTGATGGAGAGTAGGGAAGGAGAAAAGACAGTGGGTGGAGAGGAGCGAAGGGGGGCAGGAGAAAAGGATGATTGTCTCTTATAACACTAATTGGCTCCTACAAAGCACACAGTTTATACCCATCCTTACTACATATGCCTTAAGTAAAATAAGTACAGAAAAATCTGAGGTATATAAGGGTTACACACACCTGTGGTGTCTCTCGAAAGCACTCAGTCACCATGGGACTCTCTTTAAAGGGCTCGGTCTCCTCTCTGGAGTCTTAGAGAAGAAAGAAACTTAGTAAAACTCTACAACAATTTTTATTCATCCAAGCAAGCCTATAGTATCCAGCTGCAGACCCGCAGCACCACCACTTTCAGAACCCCAGCGCCAGAACCGGAAATAAGGGGCGGAGCTTACGTTCTAACACCAGCGCCAGAACCGGAAGTAAGGGGCGGAGCTTACGTTCTAACACCAGCGCCAGAACCGGAAGTAAGGGGCGGAGCTTACGTTCTAACACCAGCGCCAGGACCGGAAGTAAGGGGCGGAGCTTACGTTCTAACACCAGCGCCAGAACCGGAAGTAAGGGGCGGAGCTTACGTTCTAACACCAGCGCCAGGACCGGAAGTAAGGGGCGGAGCTTACGTTCTAACACCAGCGCCAGAACCGGAAGTAAGGGGCGGAGCTTACGTTCTAACACCAGCGCCAGGACCGGAAGTAAGGGGCGGAGCTTACGTTCTAACACCAGCACCAGAACCGGAAGTAAGGGGCGGAGCTTACGTTCTAACCCCAGCGCCAGGACCGGAAGTAAGGGGCGGAGCTTACGTTCTAACACCAGCGCCAGGACCGGAAGTAAGGGGCGGAGCTTACGTTCTAACCCCAGCGCCAGGACCGGAAGTAAGGGGCGGAGCTTACGTTCTAACACCAGCGCCAGAACCGGAAGTAAGGGGCGGAGCTTACGTTCTAACACCAGCGCCAGGACCGGAAGTGAGGGGCCGAGCTTACGTTCTAAACCGAGTAACGCCACCTAACGTTTTGGAGCGTAATTTGCTTAGACACGAAACGGCATTATTACACACGAAACGTCATACTTTATACATATGATACATTAAGGTATAGTACAATAAGCATTTTTAAAACGTTGATTTTGTGTAATATAATTCTATATAGTTATCCGTTTCATTGTATTATGAGAGTTACTTCCAATCCTGATCATGATGGTGAAAAATAATGCTTGAAACTTGGTCATTTTATATAAAATATACTTTATTTCACAAGAACATGTGCAGCATGCATTTTTCTTTATGTAAAATAATGTCAAAAATCTAAAAAGAGAGAGAAAATCCGGCATTATTTTAAAAGAAACAATAAAAATGTACCGTACTTAAAATAATAGCCGAGTCCCAAATAGACGATTGTCTCTTTACACGCCTGGTGTGGCTGCAGGTCTGGGTAAATATAAGGCCGGTCTCAAATAGAGGTCGGGTCTGTTTTTTGGTTTCAGGTTGTATTAAATCTTCTAAAACCCGTCAGATCGTCCGCTTTTTGGCGGCCGCCAAAGCAAATTTTTGTCCCGCCAAAGCCTATTTTGATCGGTGAGTGATGTAGAATAGAATGACTGCTGCGCGTGCGCATGACAGGGCGCTTAACGACAGAGAGAGAGAGAGAGAGCCCCGGCCGCGCGCGCGCACTCTGACGTCTTCAAACAACACGAGCGCTGTCTTGCTCTTTATTTGTCACATACCAGTTATAGTTCATACAACGAGCAGTGACTCACTGTGTAATAAAAACATACCCTAAATATTATTTAAAAGGTGCAACAATTTTAAATATTTTTAAATACTTGCAAAAATAACCATGCTTGTGTCATTGTAAATAATTCCGCCCCTCCCTCACTTCCGGTTCTGGCGCTGGGGTTCTGGCGCTGGGGTTCTGAAACTGGTGGTGCTGCGGGTCTGCAGCTGGATATATCTCAAGCAAGCCACTATAGATTCTTATTTACAGGGGGGGCTTAGAAAACATTAAACATGTCAATAAATTCATAGCCAAACATAAAAAATTAAAATAAAATAAAAATCAGCCAAACATCATAAAAATCCATATAGCTCTGTTTGAGTAACAAGTAAACTAAATAAATACAAATGCAAGGGGGTTACTCACCGGTTGCACTTCTCCAAAAGTTGAGAAGGAGACATCTAGATCCTCCACAGGACTCCTTCCAGTCTTGTTCATAGAACAAAAATATAGTCATTCTCTTCAATAAATTAAAGTGCAAATACATCAAATAATTAACACTATCAATCAGCCCAACATCACAAGTCTCTACAGCTCTGCTTGAGAAACAATTTTAAAAAGCAATGAAAATCAGTGGAACTTACCTTTTGAGCAATAATGGCGAGGTCACTTTTCATTTGAGGGATTTCTAGCAAGAAGTTATATAGCCTAAAGAAAAAACAATTACAATCACAAAAGCAGAATAGCACCCAGCAACTCAGTGCCCTAACGTTAACGTTACTCTTCGAAAGACATTTCCTGCAGCTGTGAACGCAAGCTACAACCCTCCAAAGCCCATTGATAAGGCTCTGGAGAGGAAACCTGGTTGTGAACGCAATTAAAAAAAATGTCTTTCTCCAATTTCTCCCAAATTCAAATTCCCCAGGGTTTTTTTCTGGAGCCGATTGACTTCTTGAGCCGTTGAAGGCAGAGAAGCATCATTTATTCTCATGAACTGTATGTTCTCTAGGCCATGACTTTTGTTAACCCTCTACGAATTCCTCTAGAAAGAGACACATAAATATAATTCTAATTTGAATCTTATCAACGGCTACGTTATATGAGCACCCACAATAACTTTAGCAGCTACCTCAGTTAACAACATAGCATGTATTTTGCCAAACACGTGTTAAACTTTCAGCCCATACTATTTCTAAGTTTATAACTTACTTCTCTGCCACCGCAATATCCATCTCCAGAAAAAAACCCTGCTAATAAATATTAGAATTAGGAATACTTACGATTGATGATAAGTAGGACATAGCGGATCTCCAATAGTCTAGATGGGATGTACCCAAAAAGTGAAAGTGAGGAGCATTTGTGGGTACAAGTCGGGAACCGGCCTACTTTACATATTTCAAGGGTGCTGAATCCAAAAAAACTGGTACCCAAGCGAAATTGTGAGTTTTTGACCTTCTAATTTGCATATCAAAATGGCCGCCAAATTGCCTATCTTGCTCAGTCGTTGGACCATTTTCCACTAGTTTTTTGTAAGTAGGCAATCAAGATGAGGAAATTAAGTTTCTAGATCGATAGTCAAGGGTCAGAGCAAAGATATAATGGAGGATCACTGTCTTTTTTATGTACAGTATATATGCAAAATACCAACTTTTAAGGTGAAATTAGGCATTATTTGTGTCATTTTTTAAGGCCGACATAAATATTCAATCAATATCACTCTTAAATGTTCCCAGTGTATATATGATATGTGATGTATTCCATATTACATAATAACTAAGAAAAACACCATTGCAAGTTGTCTGAGATTTCATTTTTTTTTATGCAAACAAAGCATTCCCTAGACTGTACATTTCCTGAAGAAAATGTGAAGTGGTGCTTGCAGTGGCAAAATTGCATACGAGCCAACAAACATGTCTGTACGATGTTCTGGTGCTGAGATATGGCTTATTCATGTTGTTCAGGTGGTTGCTAGGCAGTTGCTAGGGTGTTCTGGGTGGTTGCTATGGTGTTTCTAGGCGGTTTCTAGGGTATTCTGGGTGGTTGCTAGGGCGTTACTAGGCAGTTGCTAGGGTGTTCTAGGTGGTTGCTATGGTGTTGATAGGCAGTTGCTAGGGTATTCTGGGTGGTTGCTAGGGTATTCTGGGTGGTTGCTAGCATGTTGCTAGGGTGTTCTGGGTGGTTGATATGGTGTTCCCAGGGTGTTCTGGGTGGTTGCTAAGGTGTTGCTAGGCGGTTGCTAAGGTATTTTGGGTGGTTGCTAGGGTGTTATGGGTGGTTGCTAGGGTGTTATGGGTGGTTGCTATGGTGTTACCAGGTGGTTGGTAGTTGTCACAGATGGTTACTATGGAGTTTTTATAGAGTTCTTAGCATGTTCTAGGCATGATTTAGCACTTACCTAATCACTAATAGCATGTAGCTATTCACAGCTAGCATGTGTAGCATGTTGGAAGTCCTCTTTGCTAGCATGAGACAAAAGAGCCAACCCCCATTTCTCTATGATGTTCTGATGCAGAGATATACACTCACCTAAAGGATTATTAGGAACACCTGTTCAATTGACCTCTCGCCGGCCCCTCCCCCAAAACGGCCATTGTCCAATCACACATCATAGCAACCGTTACTATGTGAGCAGGTCCGTCAAACATTGACTCCAAGCAAGATGGTGAAGCGGTGTGCCTACGGCGTTTGTAAATCGGACACTAGGTACTCCGAGAGATTGTCTGGAGGAGTTGTGTTCTTTCCGTTTCCAAAGCCGACAATGGATTAAACAGTGTGGACGGCCCCACTCCCAGTTAAATGTGTCGAACATGGTTAACTCGCGTGCAGCGTGTGTGAGACTGAGACACTGAGATTAGTCAAAGAAACATGGAGAAAGCAGATCAAGAGGATCCACGAAGGAATTACGTTTTCTAAAGGGTTGTTGTTAACATGATATTTTCGGGGGGGAATGAGCAGCAGTCAACTAGCAGTGCAGCACCCGTAGACTACAGTTTAGAGGAGAGCAAGTTCGCAACGGGGAAAGCATGAAGCTTACTTGACAACATCAGTTCATATATCAATATCGTAACAAATAGAAATAACCTTAAATAATGTATGGTTATCTGCATCTTTCCGTCTCTTATGTATAACGTTAGTTACTTTTTAAACACAAAAATCACATTCAGCATGACACGCAAGTGGTTGTTGTGGTAATGAACAACCTGCTTGTTAAAGCGAATGTATAATCCTGTATCTGAGGCAAAATTACTAAGTTAAATATGCAGCGCAAGTTATATATTTCTAACTCCAAACAATTGGCCACTGAACCAGCTTATAAAATCTTCTTCAAGGCCGTGCTGGTTGCATTTGAGGTACAGGTCGTTACAGTAAGCATTATAGCCTTTTTTTTTTTTTTTTATATTTTGAATATATCCCTTCACTGCATACTGTAACCCCTTTTGCCTCGATCTGGAGGATATCGCGGAGGTATTGCTCCAAAAAAGGTCACTGACACGCACGGGTATACCTCTTCTCGTCATGGCAATCTGTCGCGCTGGTCGTGTTTGACCATTTGTTTGTCGGACGTAGCAACAGTAACTAAGGGGGGCGGGGCTCGGCGAAAGGCTAATTTCTCATTAATGCAATTATCTAATCAACCAATCACATGGCAGTTGCTTCAATGCATTTAGGGGTGTGGTCCTGGTCAAGACAATCTCCTGAACTCCAAACTGAATGTCAGAATGGGAAAGAAAGGTGATTTAAGCAATTTTGAGCGTGGCATGGTTGTTGGTGCCAGACGGGCCGGTCTGAGTATTTCACAATCTGCTCAGTTACTGGGATTTTCACGCACAACCATTTCTAAGGTTTACAAAGAATGGTGTGAAAAGGGAAAAACATCCAGTATGCGGCAGTCCTGTGGGCGAAAATGCCTTGTTGATGCTAGAGGTCAGAGGAGAATGGGCCGACTGATTCAAGCTGATAGAAGAGCAACTTTGACTGAAATAACCACTCGTTACAACCGAGGTATGCAGCAAAGCATTTGTGAAGCCACAACACGCACAACCTTGAGGCGGATGGGCTACAACAGCAGAAGACCCCACCGGGTACCACTCATCTCCACTACAAATAGGAAAAAGAGGCTACAATTTGCAAGAGCTCACCAAAATTGGACAGTTGAAGACTGGAAAAATGTTGCCTGGTCTGATGAGTCTCGATTTCTGTTGAGACATTCAGATGGTAGAGTCAGAATTTGGCGTAAACAGAATGAGAACATGGATCCATCATGCCTTGTTACCACTGTGCAGGCTGGTGGTGGTGGTGTAATGGTGTGGGGGATGTTTTCTTGGCACACTTTAGGCCCCTTAGTGCCAATTGGGCATCGTTTAAATGCCACGGCCTACCAGAGCATTGTTTCTGACCATGTCCATCCCTTTATGGCCACCATGTACCCATCCTCTGATGGCTACTTCCAGCAGGATAATGCACCATGTCACAAAGCTCGAACCATTTCAAATGGGTTTCTTGAACATGACAATGAGTTCACTGTACTAAAATGGCCCCCACCACATCTCAACCCAATAGAGCATCTTTGGGATGTGGTGGAACGGGAGCTTCGTGTCCTGGATGTGCATCCCACAAGTCTCCATCAACTGCAAGATGCTATCCTATCAATATGGGCCAACATTTCTAAAGAATGCTTTAAGCACCTTGTTGAATCAATGCCACGTAGAATTAAGGCAGTTCTGAAGGCGAAAGGGGGTCAAACACAGTATTAGTATGGTGTTCCTAATAATCCTTTAGGTGAGTGTAGGTCTTTCAAAATGGTTGCTAGGGTACTCTGTTTGGTTGCTAGGGAGTGGATAATCATGAAATGCCAAAGGCTGCATTTCAGTGTGAATTATATAAACCAACCCCTATCTCTATATGATGTTCTGATGCAGAGATATAGGTCTTGCAAAATGGTTGCTAGGGTACTCTGTTTGGTTGCTAGGGAGTGGCTTGGAAGCTGCCAATGATGAATCTCCAAAGGCTGCTTGTCAGTGTGAATGATATAAACCAACCCCCAACTCTATACGATGTTCTGATGCAGAGATATAGGTCTTGCAAAATGGTTGCTAGGGTACTCTGTTTGGTTGCTAGGGAGTGGCTAATCATGAAACACCAAAGGCTGCTTGTCAGTATGAATGATATAACCCAACCCCTATCTCTATATGATGTTCTGATGCAGAGATATAGGTCTTGCAAAATGGTTGCTATGGTACTCTGTTTGGTTGCTAGGGAGTGGCTTAACAGCTGCCAATCATGAAACTCCAAAGGCTGCTTGTCAGTGTGAATGATATAAACCAACCCCCATCTCTATACGATGTTCTGATGCAGAGATATAGGTTTTGCAAAATGGTTGCTAGGGTACTCTGTCTGGTTGCTAGAGAGTGGCCAATCATGAGTTGCCTCCATTATATCTTTGCTCTGACCCTTGACTATCGATCTAGAAACTTAATTTCCTCATCTTGATTGCCTACTTACAAAAAAACTAGGGGAAAATGGTCCAACGACTGAGCAAGATAGGCAATTTGGCGGCCATTTTGATATGCAAATTAGAAGGTAAAAAACTCAAAATTTCGCTTGGGTACCATTTTTTTGGGACTCAGCACCCTTGAAATATGTAAAGTAGGCCGGTTCCCGACTTGTACCCATAAATGCTCCTCACTTCTTATAGAAGGCCATTTTTCTGAAATCCGTCTAGTCTACAACGCTGATATCGCCATTTTCACTCCCAGCCGATATCTTTCGGCGCGAATCGTCAAACGTCAGGCGGATGACGTCATCAACTACGCGGCGCTGTAGCCATGGTAGCATCAGAGTGGAGAATTTTTTTTAATTAAAAAAAAAAAAAAAAAATTTAATTACAGAGTTTGATATCAAGTTCTTGACACATTTCTTTTACAGATTTTCACATTTGATAAGTATAAGTTGAAACAACAATTTTGGAAAAAAAGAAAAGAAAAGAAAAAGAAAAAGAAAAAAAGATAAAGGCCATCTCAAACATATATTAGATTCATTTAGCAGAGATACAGATCTTTGGGCTTTTCGATTTTTTAAAAACTCAGACTCAAAATGCTTGTCTTCAAATTCATTAACCATAGTGAAATGCTCAGATAGATGGGATGATGATGATGATAATGATGAAGAAGATGATTGATTACTTCAATGTATGTTCTGTTCTGTTCTTTTTTTTTTTTTTTTTTTTTTTGCTACATTTAGACTGTAATGACCTTTCAGCCATATTCATATAGAAACTACATTAAGACAACACAGAAAACATTGCATTTTGCAT